CGTCGCCCTGTCCCGTCGCGTCGCCCTACCCCGTCGCGTCGCCCTGCCCTGTCCCGTCGCCCTGCTCCGTCGCGCCGCCCTGCCCCGTCGCGTCGCCCTGTCCCGTCGCGTCGCCCTGCCCCGTCGCGTCGCTCCCGCCCTTTCCCCCGTCGCGTCGCCCTCCCTAGGCCCTAGCCCGTCGCCCTCCCTAGGCCCTGGCCCGTCGCCCTCCCTAGGCTCTGGCCCGTCGCCCTACCCTAGGCCCTGGCCCGTTGCCCTACCCTACGTTTTGGCCCGTCGCCCTAGCCCGCTCTTCCGCTGCGACTGAGTCCTCTTCCCCGCCCCGGTTGTTACTCGCCTGTTCGTTCGCGTTGGTTCTCACTATGGCGACTCCGCGAGTTCTTCGTTTCGACGCCGACGGTAGACCCCTTGACTTTTCCGTCTGGCTTCTTCGCGCTCGTCGTCTGTTAGAGAGTCAGGTCCAGGGGGGCGAGACCCTCTGGTCACACGCTACTGGTGACCTCCCCGAGCCCCCCGAGCCTACCGCTTTAGGCCCTGCTCCTGACGACGCTGCTACGGCTCGCTTTGCCCGTCAGCGCGCTGACCGGACGGCTTGGACGTCGCGTGAAGCTGCGGCCTGCATCGCACTCAGCAGCCTCCTCCCTGAGTCCGAGGAGGTCCACTTTACTCAGGTTCGCACCGCTGCTGCGTACCTCACTGCGATTAAGGCCCGCTACTCTACTCCCGCTACTGTCTCTCTCGGCCGTCTTTTCCTCCCGTTCCTGTTTCCTGATCTTGCCTCGTTTGAGCGCTCTGCTGACTTGATCGCTCACCTCCGCTCGCTCGACGCTAGTTACCGCGCTGCTTGCACTGAGGCACAGCTTGCACTGCTTCCTCCCCCCATGGCGATTACTGTCTATTTCACCGCTACACCACAGTGTTCCCTCTGGCGAAGAAGTCTGAGGTGACTTCTACGCTAATCAGGTGGTTGCTCACCACTGAGGACACTCGTGGTCGTCGTGTCAGCTGTCTCCACTCTGACCGTGGGGGTGAGTTTCGCTCCGGCATTCTCGCTGGATTCTGTCGCGAGCAGGGCATTCGTCAGTCCTGGACGCTTCCAGAGTCCCCACAGCAGAATGGGGTTGCTGAGCGCCGCATAGGCCTGGTCATGGAGATCGCCCGCACCTCCCTGACTCACGCCTGTGCCCCCCATTTTCTGTGGCCCTACGCGGTCAGGTACGCCGCGCACCAGCTGAACCTCTGGCCACGTGTCTCTCGACCAGAGGTTTCACCGACCAGTCTTTGGACAGGGTCCCCTGGTGTTGCGTCGCGGTTTCGTGTCTGGGGGTGCTTGGCTCTTGTCCGCGACACCTCCGCGGACAAGCTCTCGCCTTGTGCCGTCCCCTGTGTCTTCCTTGGTTTCCCTGAGGACTCCTCTGACTTCACCTTTTACCACCCTCCCTCTCACCGGTTCTTTGACTCCCGTGACGTCCGTTTCGAGGAGTCCACTCCGTACTACGTCAGGTACCCCAGTCGAGGTCTCCCGGTTCCTCCTCCCCCCCTCTTCCTGACTGCCGTTCCCCCTCCTGCTCCCCCGGTACAGCCTCCCCCCCCTGGTCCAGCCCCGTCAGGTGTGTCTCAGGCTACCCCTCCTCCTTCGGTAGCCCCTCCGGTACAGCCTCCCTCCCCACAGTCCTCCTCGCAGCGTGCCGCTGGTGCTAGCTCTCGAGAGGTTGGTGAGGCGCCTGTTCCTGTACCGGTTTCTGGTTCTGGGGTGCTGGAGTTGGAGCTGGAGTTGGAGCTGGAGTTGGCACTGGAGTTTCTGGTTCTGGGGGTGCTGGAGTTGGAGCTGGGGTTGGAGCTGGAGTTTCTGGTTCTGGAGTTGGAGCTGACCCGGTGGGTGCAGAGGACTCTTGTCGTCCGGGAGCTGGTGCTGGCCGCGCGGACACTGGGGGTGCTGCGTCTGGGGGTGAGGGTGCGCCTCCTTCGGGTTCAGGTGAGCCTGGTTCTGGAGCTGGTGTTAGTGCTGCCTCTGGGGGTGGTGCGCCTAGTTCTTCTGAGGTGGACTCTGGAGCTGCCGCTGCTTCGGACACTACTCCACCCCCCCACCCCTACCCGACTAGGCACCAGGCTCGTGTTCGCCGTGCCCGTGACGAGCAGCTGGCGTTGGAGAGAGAGGAGAGGGAGTTACAGCGGCTGGAGGAGCAGCAGCAGCAGCTGGAGCCGCAGGAGCAGCAGCAGCAGCAGCAGCAGCTGGACCCGCAGGAGCAGCAGTCCCAGCAGCAGCCGCGTCCGCAGCAGCAGCAGTCGCAGCCGCAGCAGCAGCAGCCACTTCCTCCTCCTGTCTCGGGTCTTCGGATCCTTGGTCTCCCCTCCCCTTCTCCTCCCTCCTCCGCCTCTCCTCCTGTCTACGGTCCCACGTTTCCTCCTCCTGACTCCTCCCCCGCTGTTTTCCCCAGTTCTCCGCCTTTGTCCTCTCCTCCTCCGTCTCGTTCTTGGGCTACTCGTCGCTCCCCTCGTGCTCGTCCCTCGTCTCCTGTTCCCTTCACTGACCTTCGTACTGCCTTCCTTCTTTCTAGTCCACCTCGTCCGTCTCAGTCTGTGCTTCCGTCTCCTCCTGAGTCGGCCCTCACTGTGTCGCTCCCTACTCCTGTCACTGACTACTACCGCACGTACCGTCCTGTTCTCTCTCGTGTTCTCGCCTCTCTTGTTACTCACCCTCGTGCCTCTGTGTCCTCTGTGTCCGCTCTTACTGCCGCAGTTACTGACTTTGCCTCTACCCGCCGCCTTGACTACGCCACCACGCTTGTGGCTGCTCCTCCTACCAGTCCTCTGGCCGTCGGGGGTGTGTCTGCCCTTGGCTGTGACGCCCTAGAGGACAGGCAGTTTGAGCTAGAGTTCCTGGCGGCCGCTTCCCCTCATCTCTGTGCCATGCTCCTCGCCCCTGAGGGTGACCCCGACGCCCTTGACATTCCGACTCCTCGCACTTACGCTGAGGCAGTGTCAGGGCCTTGGGCCTCTCAGTGGAGAGCTGCCATGGACGCAGAGATGGCCTTCTACAGTTCCACAGGCACCTACGTCGATGAGGTTCCCCCCCCTGGGGCGAACGTAGTCGACGGCATGTGGATCTACAGGGTGAAGCGGCCACCGGGATCTCCCCCGGTCTTCAAGGCGCGCTACGTGGCTAGAGGTTTCAGTCAGCGCGAGGGAGTTGACTTCTTTCAGACCTTCGCACCTACCCCGAAGATGACCACTCTTCGGGTGTTACTACACGTAGCAGCACAGAGAGACTACGAGTTACACTCTCTCGACTTCTCCACTGCTTTCCTTCAGGGCAGCCTACACGAGGAGGTCTGGTTGCGTCGTCCCTCGGCCTTCACTGGCACCTTCCCTCCTGGGACCCAGTGGAGGCTGAGGCGACCTGTTTACGGTCTTCGCCAGGCCCCTCGTGAGTGGCACGACACTCTGCGTTCTACCCTCTCTGACCTTGGGTTCCAGCCGTCTTCTGCCGACCCGTCGCTGTTCGTTCGTCGTGGCTCCACACCGTTCTTTGTTCTGGTCTACGTCGACGACCTCGTTTTCGCCACTTCGGACAGGGTTGCTTTGGCAGACGTGAAGTCCGAACTGCAGAAGAGACACACGTGCACTGATCTTGGTGAGCTGCGCCACTACCTTGGCCTGCAGATCACCAGGGACAGAGCCGCTCGCACCATTACACTCTCACAGTCACACATGGTGCAGCAGGTCCTTCAGCGGTTCGGGCTTCAGCACTCCACCGTACAGCGCACACCTCTAGCTGTTGACCACAGACTCACTGGTCCCTTTCCTGACGAGCCGTTTGAGCCTAGTGGTCCCTACGCAGAGCTTGTGGGTTGCCTCATGTACCTGATGACTTGTACTCGCCCGGACCTCGCCTTCCCTCTCAGCATCCTTGCGCGCTTTGTTGCGCCAGGGAGACACCGTCCTGTTCACTGGACGGCAGCTGTGAGGGTGGCGAAGTACCTAGCGACTACATCAGGCGTGGGGCTAGTTCTTGGAGGGCAGCAGTCTGTCGTACTCACTGGTCACTGTGACTCCTCTTACGCTGACGACGCTGAGACTCACAGGTCTACTCAGGGGTACTGTTTCAGTCTGGGTTCTGGAGCTGTTTCCTGGCGTTCCACGCGCTCCTCTTCTGTCTCGACCTCTACAGCTGAGGCTGAGATTTACGCTGGTGCCATGGCGGCACAGGAGTTACGGTGGTTGACCTTCTTGCTCGCCGACCTTGGTGAGCGGCCGAGCTCTGCACCGACCTTGTTTACTGACAACAAGGCGTCGATCCTCCTCTGTCGTGAGCCGCGACTGGAGAGCAGAGTGAAGCACATTCACGTCAGGTACTTTCTTCTGCGAGAGTTGCAGAGGCGTGGACAGGCTCGCTTCGAGTTTGTAGAGTCCGAGGCCAACACTGCAGATATCTTCACCAAGGCGCTTCCGCCTTGTGACCACCAGAGGTGTTGTGTGCAGTTAGGCCTTGTTGACACAGGTTCTAGTCATGCGTAGACTTGAGTTTATTGCCTGCTTCGTCTGTACACTTACTATATATACTTGTGATCTCTTGGACTGGCCTTGTGGCCACTGTTGCTTGTGCTCAGAGTGTGTGGTGACGTTGTGATCCACCCTGAGCTTTGTTTTCTTTTGGACTGGTCTTGTGACCGTACTCTTTTTTGTTTTTGCTAGACACCCCTCACTTAGGCTATGGGGGTGTGTCAAATGTTGTAGCATGTAGTGAGGTTTGTCTTAGGGGGTACAGAAGTTAGGGTTTGTCATATGTACCCCAACCAACATCAATGCAACATCCATTCCTCATTCTGACAACTACTGTAGTTATATAATGTTCTGTTTGGTGGTGCACCTTTCCTTCTTGCCTATTTGTACTCCTCGCTCTATAGTGAAACCCCTCACTTTCTTGAAATCTTCTCGACTTACCTAAACCCACTCGACCTCAACTTTCCTACTAACTAGCTATGGCTTCTTAGCCTAGCTCAAGTTTTGTCAAGAATGGTTCGGGGTGATGGAAAGCGGGAGAATGGGGCCGGTGATGAAAAGCGGGAGAATGGGGCGGGGTGATGGAAGGAGGGAGAATGGGGCTGGGTGATGGAAAGCGGGAGAATGGGGCGGGGTGATGAAAAACGGGAGAATGGGGCATTGTGATGAAAGCAAAAGAATGGGGCGGGGTGATGGAAAGCGGGAGAATGGGGCGGGGTGATGGAAGGAGGGAGAATGGGGCGGGGTGATGGAAAGCGGGAGAATGGGGCGGGGTGATGGAAAGACGGAGAAAAGAGCGGGGTGATGGAAAGACGGAGAAAAGAGCGGGGTGATGGAAAGTCGGAGAATGGGGCGGTGTGACGGAAAACGGGAGAATGGGGCAGGGTGATGGAAAACGGGAGAATGGGGCGGGGTAATGGAAACCGGGAGAATGGGGCGGGGTGATGGAAAGCGGGAGAATGGGGCGGGTTGATGGAAAGCGGGAGAATGGGGCGGGGTGATGGAAAACGGGAGAATGGGGCGGGATGATGGAAAGCGGGAGAATGGGGCGAGGTGATGGAAAGCGGGAGAATGGGGCGGGGCGATGTAAGGAGGAAGAATGGGGCGGGGTGATGGAAAGCGGGAGAATGGGGCGGAATGATGGAAAGCGGGAGAATGGGGCGGGGTGATGGATAGCGGGGGAACGGGGCGGGGTGATGGAAAATGGGAGAATGAAGCGCGGTGATGGAAAACAGGAGAATGGGACGGGGTGAAGGAAAGAGGGAAAATGGGGCGGGATGATGGAAAGCGGGAGAATGGGACGGGATGATTGAAAACGGGAGAATGGGGCAAGGTGATGGAAAGCGGGAGAATGGGGCGGGGTGATGGAAAGCGGGAGAATGAGGCGGGGTGATGGAAGGAGGGAGAATGGGGCGGGGTGATGGAAGGAGGGAGAATGGGGCGGGGTGATGGAAAGCGGGAGAATGGGGCGGGATGATGGAAAGCGAGAGAATGGGGCGGGGTGATGGAAAGCGGGAGAACGGGGCAGGGTGATGGAAAGCGAGAGAATGGGGCAGTGTGATGGAAAGCGGGAGATTGGGGCGGGGTGATGGAAAGCGGGAGAATGTTGCGGGGTGATGGAAAGCGGGAGAATGGGGCCGGTCATAAAAAGCGGGAGAATGGGGCGGGGTGATGGAAACCGGGTGAATGGGGCGGGGTGATGGAAAGCGGGAGAATGGGGCGGGGTGATGGAAGGAGGGAGAATGGGGCGGGGTAATGGAAGGAGGGAGAATGGGGCGGGGTGATAGAAAACGGGAGAATGGCGCGGGGTGATGGAAAACGGGAAAATGGGGCGGGGTGAAGGAAAGCGGGAGAATGGGGCGGGGTGATGGAAACCGGGTGAATGGGGCGGGGTGATGGAAAGCGGGAGAATGGGGCGGGGTGATGGAAGGAGGGAGAATGGGGCGGGGTAATGGAAGGAAGGAGAATGGGGCGGGGTGATAGAAAACGGGAGAATGGGGCGGGGTGATGGAAAACAGGAAAATGGGGCGGGGTGAAGGAAAGCGGGAGAATGGGGCGGGGTGATGGAAAGTCGGAGAATGGGGCGGGGTGATGGAAAGCGGGAGAATGGGGCGGGGTGATGGAAAACGGGATAATGGGATGGGGTGATGGAAAGCGGTAGAATGGGGCGGGGTGATGGAAGGAGGGAGAATGGGGCAGGATGATGGAAAGAGGGAGAATGGGGCAGGGTGATGGAAACCGGGAGAATCGGGCGGGGTGATGGAAAGCAGGAGAATGGGGCGGGGTGATGAAAAGCGGGAGAATGGGGCGGGGTGATGAAAAGCGGGAGAATGGGGCGGGGTGATGGAAGGAGGGAGAATGGGGCGGGATGAACGAAAGCGGGAGAATGGGGCAGGGTGATGGAAAACGGGAGAATGAGAGAGCGCTGAATACATTTTTGTTTAACTGCACTCCCACCAGAGTAATTGCAACAATTTGGAATATATTTCCTCCTCATTTTCTATCTTAAACTTGAACTGTAGTCATTGCAATGTCCCTCTATTGGTACCCGAATCTATTGTAGCCCTAATCCAGGCACGCCCAATAAAGGGCTCAGATCAAATGCTGCTGTCTTGACAGCAACGTGAGGTTTAGATGGATGCTGGTACTAGAGAGCGAGTGAGGCGCACGGGCAGTTGCAGCCGTTGATTTGAAGGGCAATTGTGTCCACTAGAGCAGCATGGAAGATGAAGGGATGCTGCGATGATAACAAATCTCACGCCATGCGGTTTCGGCCGTTGATGGAGCGTCACATGTGAATTTGTGGTCGACTAGTATTCAAGGTTTAGGGTTTCAGGTTTAAGGTTTGCTGGGCGAGGTCCTGGAGAGAAGAGCGGAAGGTGAAGGGCTTAGAGGCTGGTGAGGAGAGTGAATGGTGGATGATAGAGAGTCACGCATAAATCCATGCATATCAGCCGTTGATCTAACATCACATGGGGATTTGTGGCCGTTGGATGTTGAGGGTTTGGCGGGCGAGGTCAACGAGGGCCCGGAAGGTGAAGGGCTCGGAGGCGGCTATCTCTGAGAGCACCTTGCGGTTGAGCTGCACGTTGGCCTGCTGCATGCCGTGCACCATCTCACTGTACCGCACCTGCTTGTATCGAGGATGGATTGGGGGTGGTGGGGGAGGGAGAGGAACAGGAAAGGCGGGGAGGAGGGGGGGCGGGGTGGGGATATGGGAGACGGGGGGTTGGTTGGACAGCAGGAGAGGGAGGGAGAAGTGTCGGAGGGAAAAGGAAGGGGAGGGTGTCGTGAGGGCTGGGGAACTGGGGAGATGAAGGTAGCTGCGGGAAAACAGGTCATGTAAAGGGGGAAGGGAATGTAGTACGATAGGTGCGTGTTTGACCCATGCGTGCGGTGCTGTGCGGTGCTGGATGGAGGAGTGTGTAGGATCACTTGAGGCAACGTTGTGAATACAATGAGGGGGTGGGCTTCGTAGCATGGAAAAAAGCGCTTGAGCTATCATCTCGGGTCCATCTGTCGTTCGCATACCCGGTACTGCCGCACGCGCCCGCGTTAACTCACGATGTGCGCTGCATCTCCCCACCCATCCCCCGCCCTCTCACTCATTCTCACCCTGTATCGCCGCCTGACTCAACAGCAGCTCACCCCGTACTGTCACACTCCCCGTACTGTCACGCACCCCGTATTGCCGCGCGCCCGCGTTGACGCGTTCGATGGCCAGCCCGCGCATGTCGCGCTTCTTCGTGCGCCGGTCGCGGTACGCGTACGTCAGCGCCTTCTCCACGCGCGGCTTCGCGGCGCGGATGCAGTTCTTCGCGCGCCCGCGGAACCCCTTCGCCAGCTCCAGAATCGTCGCCTTGTTCATGGTAACGTTTGTTACTGTATCGAGCGAGATGATGAAAAGGGGAGTGTGATGATACTGAGAGTGGAGCACCGAGGTGCTGGGTGGAGCGGGAGTGAGAGGAATTGCGGGGAGCGGCAACAAGCCAGGGAGTCCCTAGGGTGTGTGCGACGACGATCGAACGGCGTGGGGGTGGAGATCGGAATCCAGGCTGTGGAGGCGCGGAAAGAGAATTAGAGCGAGATGACGGCCGCGCTTTGGTGTGGGCGCTAGTGCGTTACGGCTGGGACAATTAAATCTAGGTCATAAGTGGTGTGTGCCTTGTGATTTCGTGTTGCAGAGATGCACGTTGTTACGATAACAGTTAACTTACAGAATATTCGTGTACCTTAGATTGCTGGACGGACCAGAAACTTCAATCGCATATCTCTGTATCGCAGAACACGTTTTGCTGAGCAGGTGGTCGCGTCGCGTGTTGGCTTGGGGGGGTGAATCGAATCTGTGCTGACATGAATCGACCATAGGCCAGCACGTGCATTTGCTGCGGCCAGAGTTGGCCTGTTGCTCGCCACACTTCCACGTCGACTCGGCTCGGCTGATGATGAACCAGCGAAGCGAGCCCTCTTTCAACCTGACCGCGTAGGCCAGGCCAGAACAAGCAAAACCCGAACCACATTATCCTAGCTTCGGTGACCTCGAAGCAGCCAGTAATGACGGAAGCCAATCGTTATACGCCACACGAATCACCCGCTTTCCCGCCTGAACCGAGCCAGACACATTTCCCCAAACCTGTCGACCAGAGCGCTGTTCGCTCCCTCGAAACACTTCCATCACCCCATGTTGCAGGGAACCAGAATCTTCCGTCAATCTTGTCCGTCCATATTTTGTGAAAACAAGAGATTGACGACACAGATGTATCATACTTCAGCCTCCCCCTGCCGCATTTTTTCTACTGTTTTCCCACTCGACGTTTTTCCAGCACTGCTCCTACGCATGTTCTGTTCCGTCTTCGTCCCCTCGTTTCCGTCGCGTGCCGCATCGCCACTCCTTCGTTCTGCTTAGTAGCCTGCGTCCCTGCGAGAATCCCGTTCCTTCATCTGCTAGAAGATATCTCAGTCCCGTCTGTATGGACTCGCCTCTTGAACCCGTATGTCGTGGCAATATCAATACATGGCGATTAATAACCCCGAGTCATGGCGACTGATCGCAGGTTGGGACATTACCTAAATTTCGCGTGCAGCGCACGGCATAGGGCACATAGTGCGCGTAGGATCATCGCAGCTCAGCGAATCTTACCCCTTGAACTTTCTACACGATAGTGTTCCCACAAACACCAGAACCGTTGCGAACCGCATGAATCATGCGTACGCCCTGCTAGTACACCACATCCCCGTTACAGGAGGACCACTCTTGATACCATCATGGGGCAGGCGAATTCCACGTTCGAAAGGCCACACTCGCCCCCCACCTCGCCCGTCGGCCGCTACAACTTCCCTCCGCCGCTCTTTCCGCCCTCCCCTTCCGCCGCGATCCCCTCCCCGCGCCTGACCACTCCGCGCGCGTGGCATCTGGACGTCGTGCGCGCGGTCTTCTCCGACAGCGACTGCGTGCACGACGCCGTGTCGGGCCTCTTAACTCAGTACGTCGAGAAAATAGTAGGCGCCACGGATGCCAACTACCGCGATCCGGACTCCATAGAAGCCATCTTCCTTGGCGCTCCCGCTACCGCTGGCGGCGGAAGCGGCGAAGGCGGCCGCGATGGCGGCGGAGGAGGCGGCGGCGGCGCCCACCAGGCGCATTCCGCGACCGCGGCGGATGCGCCAGAACTCCCCGGACGGCGTTCGTCCCCCTCCTCCCCCACTAATGGGGAACTTTCCGCCAAATCTGCAGTAGCTGCAGCTGGGGGGGAAGGGGTTCCTACAGCCGCCGCAGCCGCTGCAAGTGCGTCACGCGCAGTTGCGAGTGAATTCGTCGCGTCGCAGCAGCAGCAGCCGGCGCTGCATCCGCTGAAGCGGCTGTCCAGCCGGCGGCTCGTGGCGGCGCCCGTGGCGCGCGCGCGGGAGGCGGCGACGCGCGAGGCGCTGGAGCAGCTGGAAGGCGCGATGCGGCAGCTGGCGCGCGCGGAGTACGACTGGCTGGTGAGCAAGATCGCGGAAGCTTCTGCGATGGCGGCGGGGAATAAGGAGGTGAGCAGCGCAATTAACGGCGCGGGGGGCGGAGGGGGAGGCGCTGGGGGAGTGGGCGGAAGAAGCGGGCGGAGCATTGCGGGGATCGGGAGTATTAGTCAACGTTTTACCCGAAGCACCAGCACTAGGTCCGGGTTTGGCCCGGCGAGCTCCCGAATCGGGGACGCAGGTTCGGTCCCCCCGCCTCACCCGTTCCCCCGAAGCTCGTCGCAGAAAGCCCCGAAACTTGGGCACAGTCGCTCGCTGTCGCTGGGGCAGGCGCTGTCGCACAGGCACGTGGGAAGCAGCCAATCAGAGGCGCGCGCTAAGCCTGGCGAAAGTCGCACAGCTTCGCAGGGGCATCTGGGGCTGGAGGCTGCGAAAGTGGAAGAAGTGTTCGTGGTGGGGCTGGCGATGTGGGTCGAATTCTGGAAGCAATGGGCCAAACCTGCCAGCCACGGCGCCGAAGCTGCAGCCTCGGCGCTAGGCTCGGGATTAGGCTCGGCGGGGCAGGGGGGGAAGCTGGGGAGGGGGGCCGGGCAGTGGGGGCGGAAGGGCGCGGAAGGGGGGCTGCGGAGTCTGAAGAAGCGGAGGGAGAGGATGAGGCGGAAAGAAGGGGGGAAAGGGGGAGGTGCGGGGAAGGATGGGGGAGTTTTGGGCAAAGAGGGGAAGGAGAGGGTTCTAGGGGGTAATTCCGTGCTGGAAGTGCAGTTGGATGGGTTAAGTTGCAAGAAACCCTTGGAAGAAGGGACGTTTTTCTCAGTTGACCTGGGGGATGAGGAGGGGGATAAAGGGGGAAGAGGGGAGGCGGAGGGGGGGATGGAGAGTATCGATTTGACTAGTGGGAGGGGGGGAGGGGAGGGGGAGAAGGGGCAGACGGGGAGGAAGGGGAGGAAGGGGGGAACACGGGCAGGATTCTGGAAGCTTCGTGGAGGGTTCTGGCGCTGATTATCAGGAAGGTGGGGGGAGGAATGGGGAGGTGAGGGAGAGGGAAGGGAAGAGGGAGGGACGGCACAAGAGGCTTTGGCAGAAGAAACGACGACACAAGGCAGGACATGGAGTGGCGGGAGTTGGTTCAGATGCACGGTTGTCTGTTAGTGAGTGTTCCGGCCCAGAACTAGACACTGTAGCTGCCACTGCCAACCACTGGAATGAGTCCCTCTATGACGAGGATTTCTCTAGTGACACTGTAAGGTTTGATTTTGAAAAGCTTCCTAACAGAGCACTCTGTAACGAGGACAGCTGGAGCTCGGGCAGCAATGGGTCGAGCGATGAAAGCACGTACTATAATCTCAACGAGTACGGCGCTTATAACGAGTGCAGTGCTTTTAACGTGTTCGGATCTTGTAACGAGTACAGCGGCAGCTACAGCGCGAGCGGCAGCAGCGGCACGCCGTTCTCGGCGTGTGCCCCCCACGGGGGGGCGTGTGGCGTGCACGTGGCAGAGGTAGAGGGCGACCTGCGGGCGGAGGCCGGGCGGCAACTGCAGGAGCAGCTTTTGGCGGATCTGCTGGATGGGCGGCAGGGCGCTCTGGGCGGCAAGCAGGGCGCATGGGGGGAGGTGTTATCTGGGGGCGGTGGTGCTGGTAGGGGCGGTGTTGGTGGGAGTGGTGGTGGGGGTGCGTTTGGGTTCCGAAGCAGCAGCGTCGGCAGCAGCACCGGAGGGAGCTTCAGCAGGAGCAGCAGCTTCGGTGGAGGCGCGGGCAACAGCTTCGGGAACAGCCTCGGGGTTGGGTTTGGGAATAGCCTCAGCAGCGGGTTTGGTGGCTACAGTAGCATGGGGGAGGTGGGGATAGGCAGCGGGCTCGGCTGTAGCAGCTACAACCCTTCAGTTGACATCCTGAAACGGCTCAGAAGTAGCTCCTTCTCCTACTCCCACTCCCACCCCCTCTCCCACCCTCACTCCTTCCCTCACTCCTCCTCTCACTCCGCCCACCACTCGGCCAGCAGCAGTCCTGCAGGTACCCCCACTCCCTCCCCTCCTCCCCCGCCCCCTCCGCTGCAACACACTGATGTGGTGCGGGTGCTGGGGTTGGCAGCAGCAGCGTCTAATTGTCTGCCTGTGAGTGCTGCTGTGTGTGTGCTGAGGTTGTTGGATCGGCTTTGCAGGGAGGAGCGGGAGGCGGGGGAGTGGGTGAGACGAGGGAGGGGGAGGGGGAGACGGAGAGGAGGGGGAGCAGCAGCGGCGGCAGCGGCTGCGAGGGCGGCAGCGGCAGCAGCAGCAGGAGGGACAAGAGGAGGAGGAGGGGGGTGGGATGGTGGAGTGGGTAGTGTGGGAGGGAGAGGAGGGTTGTTGGGGGACGAGGAGGAGGATGAAGAGGAGGAGGAGGAAGGGAGAGAGGGAGTGAGAATCAGTGACAACGGTGCTGATGCTGTTGCTGATGATGATGACGATGGTGCGGATTCCGAAGCTGCGGCGGAGGCTCGGGAAGCTGTAGAACGAGAGATGGAGGCTCGGGAGTGCCGCATGTTCGTGCTGCAGTGCCTGCTAGACTTAGTAGACGCCTTGGCTCTTAAATGCCGGTTAAGACTACAACCCCCCACTGCCAGCGCGTATCTAGAAGGAATGGGGGGGGTCAACGGGGTGGTTGCTGGGATGGAAGGTTATGGACTGGAGGGGTACGGGATGGGGGGGTATGGGGGAGTGGCGACGCCTACAGGGAGTGTGACAGTGATAAAGGGGTTCCGGGAAGACGAGGAGAGTGCAGCAGGGAGTGTGTCAGGTGGCAAGGGCACGAGAAGCAGCACAGCAGGTGGCGGCAGCAGCAGTACCTCACCACTGCTCAACGGAGTCAACCCGGCTCTCTTCCAGCGCCAGCCTTCCTGGGCGTCCGGCAAGCCTGCTGCTGCCACTGCCACTGCTGCTGGTGGCCGTTCCTCGCTGTACCGTCAGCCGTCCTGGGGTGGCGGTGGGGGAGACAGTGCGTTGTTTCAGCGCCAGCCGTCGTGGCAGGGGGGTGCGTCGCCTTTCCAGCGGCAGCCGTCCATTGGCTTCCGCAACAAGATCGGTGCCTTGTTCCTGGGGGACGAGCGGGGGGCAGGAGGGGACGGTGCGGAGGAGGAGGGCGGCATGGGGGATCTGTCGAGGCTGTGGAGGAGGCATGGGACGATAGGCTCGGGTGTGGGTCGGGCAGGAAGCATGTCCATCTCTAATGCTCCTGCTCCCATGCGCCGCGCCACTGCTGGAGCCGCCACTGGTGCTGGTGGTGCTGGTGGTGCTGGTGGTGCTGGAGGGGAGTTAGCATCCTCTGCATCTGTCTCTGCTGCAGGGTTCTTTGGTCCCACGCGACTCACAGAGCTGGCAGAGCTGGCACTCGTTCGATCCATTCTCCACGCCCCTCCCAGCACCACGGCTGGCAGGACCAGCCTAGCTCCCACCCCTCCCAACACCTCTCCCCATGGTCCTTCCAACGCCCCTACCAACGCCCCCACCACCAACCAGTCCACTTCCTACTCGCACCGTCTTCGCCAGCTGGACTCGCTTCTCACCACGCACGCGCTCGGCCCCGGGATTCTCGCCCTCGTTTTGGCCGGGGAAGTTGCGGAACTACCCCATTTGACCCAGGAGGACCTGTGGCTTTTAGCCGATAGAGCAGACGAGATGGGGTGTATGGAGGCGGCTATAAGAATCTCTCTTAGGGCCGCCGCTGTCGCTTATGATGATTTGGATACTGTAGCGGATACGGTCCGGGCGGCGATGGTGCCTAATGGGACGGAGCCCGTGCCGCAGCGGATCCACCGGCTGCTCGGGGCGGCGCATTTCGGACTGACGCACGCGCCGTCGGGCGGCGTGCGGTGGCAGTATGCGATGGCGTTCGGGGCGGCGTTTTTGGAGCCTCTGCGGGCGGCTGCTGCTGCCAGTGCTGCTGCTGAGGCGAGGAGCAGAGCGCTGGGGTGTGGCAGGGAGTGGGGTGGCATAGGCGGGGGAAGAGGAGGGACAGGAATGGGAGTGGGAGGGGGCTTGGGGTCTGGAGGAGCAGCAGGAGGAGGAGGAGCAGCAGGAGGAGGAGGAGCAGCAGGAGGAGGAGTACTAAGAGCAGGAGGAGAGGCAGCAGCAGGGGGGACAGCAACAGCGGTAGGAGCAGGGGGAGCAGCGAGGAGGGGAGTGAGCTACCCGTGGGCATACGAGCTGGCCAACGGGTTTCTGCAGCTGAGTCGCGTGTTCGGGGCACCACCGTCTCGCGAGGAGCAGGAGCGCGCGGGCGAGATGAGCGCCCTATGCGCGCGGTTCGTGCTCAGACTGGCCATTGAGCCGCTGCTGGTGGTGGAAGAAGAGGGGGAGGAGGAGGGGGATGGGGAGGAGAAAAAGGAGGAGAAAGGGGAGGAGGGGGTGGAGAGGGGAGGGACCGAGGGGGAAGGGGGAGAGGGGAAAGGGGCCGAGGGGGAACGAATGGAGGTGGAAGGGGAAGGGGAGGGGGAGGGGGATGGGGAAGGGGAAAGGGACGGGGATGGGGAGGGGAAGGAGGAGAAAGGGGCGGACGGTGTGGAAGGGAAGGGGGCGGAGGGGGAATGGGCAGAGGGGAAAGGGGCGGAGGGGAAAGGGGAGGAGGGGAAAGCGAACGGAACAGAAGGGAAGGGGGACGAAGAGAAAGGGGAGGAGGGGAGGAAGGGGGAGGTTGAGCGGGACAGCGAGAGGGCGACAGGTAGAGAGGAAGAGGGGAATGAAAGCGACGGTGACGGCGAGAACGTGATCATCTATGCCGGGCAGTACTATGGGAGCAGTGCAGTGCAGCGCGATGGGAAGAGCGTGCGGCCGTTCCGCAGCAAGAGTGTGCAATCGGGTGATGGCAACAAGAGTGTGCGGCAGTGCGATGGCAGCCGGGCAGGAGAGACAGGGGAGACGTTTGAGCTTGAGCCGACTCATAGGTCGTTCCGCAGCAAGAGTATGAGATTGGGCGATGGGGGCAGCAGGGCAGAAGAGACGGGCGAGGGGCGGGCGATTGCGAGCTTCTTCACAACTAAGGAAAGCGCTCTCAAGGCGGTGCTGGAGCGAGGGGGTGAGGATGAAGGCGGTGTGGAGGAGGAGGGTGTGAAGGAGGTTCGGGAAGGACAGGGGGCTGTGGATGCAAGGGCTGTGGGTGCAGGGGCTGTGGATGCAAGGGCTGTGGGTGCAGGGGCTGTGGGTGCAGGGGCTGTGGGTGCAGGGGCTGTGGGTGCAGGGGCTGTGGGTGCAGGGGCTGTGGGTGCAGGGGCTGTGGGTGCAGGGGCTGTGGGTGCAGGGGCTGAAGGAAGAGGGGGATGTGAAGAGGGGGTGAAGGAAGGAGGTGCAGATGTGGCTTTGCATGGGCAGCGAGCGGTGAGTGCGCCGCGGGCTCTGAATGCGGTGAGTGCGCCGGGGGCTCTGCATGTGGTTTTGGAAGGAGAGGAGGCGGGCAGTAGGGTTGACAAGAAGAGTGAGGAGGGGAGTGAGGGGGAGAGGATTTATGGAGAGGTGTGCGAGGAGGGGAGTGAGGAGGAGGGGGAGGAAAAGCAAGATGAGGAGGAGGAAGAGGAGGAGGAGGAGCAAGGCGAGGCGAGCTTCTCATTCGCTAAAACCTCCACCATACATTCACGCGAATCCTCCTCTCCCCAACAACTACTGCCGTCCCTCCCGCCCTTCACCATTTTCCCAAAATCCTCCTCGTCCTCCTCTTCAGCCTCTACCACTCGCACCTCCACCTCTCTCGCCTCTTCCACCGCTACTGCCACCACGTCCACCTCATCCCGCCCTCCACCTTTCTCCCTGCACACCCAAAACGGCCGCATCACTCCCCGACCCTCCCCGCTAGGCTCGGCAGTGGCAGAAGGCCCGGACGGCAAACCGGCCGAGGCTGATCAGGAGGCTCGGCAGCGGCAGGTTCGGGAGGCGGCGCTGGTTCGGTGGGCGGCGGAAGTGAGCTTCCCAGGCGTGGAGGTGGGGTGGGCGCAGTGGAAGGCGGTGGGAGGGCTGCTGGAGAGGGAAAGCGCACTGGCACATAAGGCTCTGCCTGTCATGTGGGGGAAGGCAGTCAAAGGGACGTTCAAGGTAAGGCTTGTTCTGAAACAACTTGGAATCTTCAAGGTGAGATCTGTTTTGAGACACGACTGGCTGTGTGAGTGGTTGTGCTTGGCTTCTGGAGAAGCAGAGCGCGTTGGCTCACAAGGCTCTGCCTGTCATGTGGGGGAAAGCGGTCAAAGGGACGTTCAAGGTGAGACTTTCCTTTTTAAAGAGGATTGGCCTATGGGAAGTGGGTGGATTGGCCTATGGGAAGTGGGTGGATTGGCCTATGGGAAGTGGGTGGATTGGCCTATGGGAAGTGGGTGGATTGGCCTATGGGAAGTGGGTGGATTGGCCTATGGGAAGTGGGTGGATTGGCCTATGGGAAGTGGGTGGATTGGCCTATGGGAAGTGGGTGGATTGGCCTATGGGAAGTGGGTGGATTGGCCTATGGGAAGTGGGTGGATTGGCCTATGGGAAGTGGGTGGATTGGCCTATGGGAAGTGGGTGGATTGGCCTATGGGAAGTGGGTGGATTGGCCTATGGGAAGTGGGTGGATTGGCCTATGGGAAGTGGGTGGATTGGCCTATGGGAAGTGGGTGGATTGGCCTATGGGAAGTGGGTGGATTGGCCTATGGGAAGTGGGTGGATTGGCCTATGGGAAGTGGGTGGATTGGCCTATGGGAAGTGGGTGGATTGGCCTATGGGAAGTGGGTGGATTGGCCTATGGGAAGTGGGTGGATTGGCCTATGGGAAGTGGGTGGATTGGCCTATGGGAAGTGGGTGGATTGGCCTATGGGAAGTGGGTGGATTGGCCTATGGGAAGTGGGTGGATTGGCCTATGGGAAGTGGGTGGATTGGCCTATGGGAAGTGGGTGGATTGGCCTATGGGAAGTGGGTGGATTGGCCTATGGGAAGTGGGTGGATTGGCCTATGGGAAGTGGGTGGATTGGCCTATGGGAAGTGGGTGGATTGGCCTATGGGAAGTGGGTGGATTGGCCTATGGGAAGTGGGTGGATTGGCCTATGGGAAGTGGGTGGATTGGCCTATGGGAAGTGGGTGGATTGGCCTATGGGAAGTGGGTGGATTGGCCTATGGGAAGTGGGTGGATTGGCCTATGGGAAGTGGGTGGATTGGCCTATGGGAAGTGGGTGGATTGGCCTATGGGAAGTGGGTGGATTGGCCTATGGGAAGTGGGTGGATTGGCCTATGGGAAGTGGGTGGATTGGCCTATGGGAAGGTGGGTGGATTGGCCTATGGGAAGTGGGTGGATTGGCCTATGGGAAGTGGGTGGATTGGCCTATGGGAAGTGGGTGGATTGGCCTATGGGAAGTGGGTGGATTGGCCTATGGGAAGTGGGTGGATTGGCCTATGGGAAGTGGGTGGATTGGCCTATGGGAAGTGGGTGGATTGGCCTATGGGAAGTGGGTGGATTGGCCTATGGGAAGTGGGTGGATTGGCCTATGGGAAGTGGGTGGATTGGCCTATGGGAAGTGGGTGGATTGGCCTATGGGAAGTGGGTGGATTGGCCTATGGGAAGTGGGTGGATTGGCCTATGGGAAGTGGGTGGATTGGCCTATGGGAAGTGGGTGGATTGGCCTATGGGAAGTGGGTGGATTGGCCTATGGGAAGTGGGTGGATTGGCCTATGGGAAGTGGGTGGATTGGCCTATGGGAAGTGGGTGGATTGGCCTATGGGAAGTGGGTGGATTGGCCTATGGGAAGTGGGTGGCTCACACTCACACCCACGAAACTCCCACCGCGCCCAGCCCCCTCCTTGTCCGACTCCTTCCCTCCCACCCTGCAGGCTGTGACCCCAGACGGGACCATCCAGAGCAGCAGATTTGTGAAGTGCTCTCTGTGGTGCTCTCTGTGGTGCTCTCTGTGGTGCTCTCTGTGGTGCTCTCTGTGGTGCTCTCTGTGGTGCTCTCTGTGGTGCTCTCTGTGGTGCTCTCTGTGGTGCTCTCTGTGGTGCTCTCTGTGGTGCTCTCTGTGGTGCTCTCTGTGGTGCTCTCTGTGGTGCTCTCTGGGGGCACCACATTTGTAATGCTCACCTTTCCCAGGACCCCTCGCAATCCCGTGTCTCCCTCTGTGTTCCCTCCCTCCTCCCACCCTCCAGGCATTGACAGGGAACCATTCCAGAGCAGCAGGTGCTAGAGGTGCTCGACTGGGGGCTGGAGACACGCTGGCTCTTGAGAACTCGCTGGCTCTTGAGAACTCGCTGGCTCTTGAGAACTCGCTGGCTCTTGAGAACTCGCTGGCTCTTGAGAACTCGCTGGCTCTTGAGAACTCGCTGGCTCTTGAGAACTCGCTGGCTCTTGAGAACTCGCTGGCTCTTGAGAACTCGCTGGCTCTTGAGAACTCGCTGGCTCTTGAGAACTCACTGGCTCTTGAGAACTCGCTGGCTCTTGAGAACTCGCTGGCTCTTGAGAACTCGCTGGCTCTTGAGAACTCGCTGGCTCTTGAGAATTCTCAGAAACCAACTTCCCACAGTGACACCATTTTTCATACTCACCTCTCGCTGACCCCCTCACAATCCTTATCCTCTCTTTCCCTTCTCTCCCTCTCCGCTTTCTCCCCCGCCCTTCTCTCCTTGTCACCTCTGCAGGCAGTGACGCCAGACGGGGCCATACCAGAGCAGCAGATGCTAGCCCCATCCCCCCCACAATCCGTCTTCTCCCTCTCCGTCATTTCCCTCCCACCCCACAGGCAGTGACACCAGATGGGGCCATCCCAGAGCAGCAGGTGTTAGAGGTGTTCGACTGGGGGCTGGAAGGGCTGCTCATCACGCTCACCACCCTCACATCATTCCTGTCTCCCTTCCTCCACCCCTCTCTCTCCTCTTACAGGCAGTGACGCCGGATGGAGCTATCCCGGAGCAGCAGATGCTGGAGGTGTTCGACTGGGGCCTAGAAGGGCTGCTCATCACCCTCACCTCGCCCGGCCCCATTTACCTCGAGTCCACCCCTAGAGCCGTCTCGCCTTGCTCCGTCTCCCACTCGCTTTTCCCCACCTCGGCTTCCACCTCCTCCTCCTCCACCTCCTCCTCCTCCACCTCCTCAGCATCCTTCTCCCGTTCCTCCTCCAACAAGCAACCGCATGCAGCCCCCTCTGCACCCAACCCCTCTGCACCCATCAGTACCACCACTACCTCCTCCTCCTCCTCCTCCTCCTCCTCCTCCTCCTCCTCCTCCTCCTCCTCCTCCTCCTCCTCCTCCTCCTCCTCCTCCTCCTCCTCCTCCTCCTCCTCCTCCTCCTCCTCCTCCTCCTCCTCCTCCTCCTCCTCCTCCTCCCCTTCCCCCCTCAGCCCCTCCCTCCACCGCTCTCCCTCCTCCCTCGCCTCCGCCTGGGCCTGGATCGAGCGCCTGATCTCCACCGTCGATCCGCGCGAGAAGGACATCGGGGATCTAATCCTGGCCGTTGCAGCGCGCATGGCGGCGCACATCTATTGGCGGTGGCCCAGGCGGAGGGACAATGCTCGATACATAGCCCGCCTCCTGCTCTATGCTCACAAGCGCTTTGGCTGGCAGCAGGGGGGGCCGCAGGCGCAGTGGGGGCAGTGGGGGGGACAGCAGGGGCAGCTGAGAATGCGTGCGGTGAGGGTGAGTGAGCGGCTGTGGGGGTGGAGCCTTCCTGATGCTGCTTCTGTCCGAGAACAGTGCGAGGTGAGGGTGGTGGGATGAGGGGTATGGGTGGAAGGAGAAGGGGTGTGACGATTTGGGGTTTTATCTGCTTTGTTGTGAGTCAGTCGGAGTGAGAGCGTGTCTGGGTGCATGCGTACCGGTATGTGTGCATGTACATATAAAGATGTGTATACCGTACAATGTGTGCATTTAATGTGTGTGTAAAGATGTATATACCGTGCAATCGTGTTATTGTTAAACCATGTGCTCCTTGTGGTGTGTCTTGTGAATCACTTGGTTGGCATGGCAGACTGACGAAGAGGCTCAAGAGATCATGGACAGTGCAATGATTGCAACATGGACTGGCATTGCAGCATGATGCAGCCAACTGGAGTAAAACAATTGTAACTTCGTTAATTAACCCATGAGCACATGCTCTATCAGGCTCTTTTCCAGTCATTATTTAAGGGAAGCAACTTGTTCCCTTTTCTCATACCGTCAGCCCCCGGATAGAAGCGCCCCTGGGGTTATAAAAAAACACTGTTTTTTAGGGGGTGGGCTTATAATTGAGGATTTTTATAAGCGCCGGGGCTTATAAAATGACATATATGAAATCTAGTTTTTTTACACCAAAGTGTTCATCTCGTCCTTGCGATTTGAATCGAATCGATATTCTAGGGGGCTGGAATGTGAATCTCGCGTAAATTGGCATTGAGTCGCGCGATGGTGAAGGGATTCGAATTTCTGAATGTTGGGATGCAAAAATTGTGTTTCGTTACAGCGTTTCCAGTAAAAATATAAAAAAATAATTCAGAGGGTGGCGCTTATAATCCGTAAGCCTTTAGGGGTGCGCTTATAATCGAGGACCGGATATAAGCGCCCTCATCCTTTTATAAGCGCCGGCGCTTATCCGAGGCCTGCGCTTCTATCCGGGGGCTTACGGTATGCATGATGTGCTATGCTTTTCAGTCTAATTTGCTGTACTGGGTGGGACTGTATGGTAAATGTGATTGCGTGTGGAAACAACGTCATGAGATAATTTTATGACCATTAGTATTTTCGCTGACCTTGTTGAGTGATGTAAGGAAAATTCCTTTTCCTTACTTCGCGTCCCCGCTCAGCCTGTACACCACTGTAGCACCACAGTCAGCACCGTTACCACTCGCAACCCTCGCATCGACAATCCTTCCGCCACCTTCACACCTCACACCCCAACCTCACAGCTCGGCGGGTAACCCGCCCTCTGGGCCTCCGCTTCGACATTTCCCCAAGCCTCAGTCCCAGGCCCATCGCGCGACAACCACAGTCCATTACCGTTACCACTGTAGTTTCGCTATATATTCTTCGCTCATGCCTTCGCTCATTGTACTCTTGCTTCGATAGTGCAATTCTCGCTCGATCACTCAATTGTACTCGTAACACTTCGTATTCAGAGCCTACGATCTCTTCTCGGACCGCACCCACACCTTCGCTTCCCCACTATCTCAATTTTTGGGGGGGGGGTAGACGTCTCTCAGCGACACAGCACCGCCGCTCGTAGTGCTCTCTCGTAAGCACGCACGGCCACGACAGAGGCTCTCGCTGAGCTTGCCCGACACCCCCGCCATGGCCGAATTTACTCTCGCGACACTGACGCAGGAGCAACTCGACCGTCTCGTGCGCCAAGTTGAAGAATCGGCGCTCGAAATTGCGACGCTCACGGCGGAACGTGACTCCGCCTGTCAGCAATCCACGGTGAATACACCTGCAAATGCACCTGCACAATCGGAGGAGCCGATCATAATTTCATCAGACACACCTACACAGAACGACAGCGTGGGACAGCGCTCAGGCGCAGCCAGTGATGGCGCCGCCCAACAGATGCCGGGCATGGGGAGAAACAGGGTCGCGCCAAGCCCACGGGAGCCTCGTGAAGCCTGTCGGCACGTGGAGTTCGCGGCGACAATTGGCGACCAGGCCATCATGGCACCAATGCCACTCAAGCCGCAGCGCCCGCCCTGTTTCGACCCAAGCCAACGTGGAGGTCCGACGGTTCAATCGTGGGTCTTCACTGTCAGATTATAATGCATGTCTAGTTTGTAGTGGGGTACTCAAAAGTGAGTATAACCCTTTTATGGCTTACTACTTGTATCCCCCTCCTTTCTAGTTTCAACATTCTCCTTCCACAATTCTCTCGACATTTCACTTACACCCTAAAACTCGAACTCACTCCTAAGCTACTATGGCTCCTAAGCCAAATTCTCGCTAGTTTATCAACATGCTATCAGAGCTTAAAGCTCTTGGCCTGTGGGCCCACTTGCTTCCGCTGCCCTACTGTGTGTCGCGCGCCCCGTGGCGCGCGACATTCTATTTTTCTTCCCGCCACGCGCTCGGAACGCGTGGCGGTTTTCTGCCCGCCGTGCGCCCCGAGGCGCGCGGCGGGTTCCTACCTCGTCGCGGCGTCTTGGGGGCCCGCGCACTGGCCCCGACCGTCGCCTCGTCGTGGCGTTTTGGGGGCCCGCACGCAGGCCCCTCCCGTCGCCTCGTCGCGGCACTTTCGGGGCCCGCGAGCCGGCCCCTCCCGTTGCCTCGTCACGGCGCCTTAGGGGCCTGCGCGCGGTCCCCTTTGCTCGCCCGTCGAGGCACTTTTGGGGGCCTGCGCGGCTCCCTAGCACGTCGCCCGTCAGGGCACCCTGGGGGCCGCGCCCTTCCCCTCCCCTCCCTCCTAATTTCCACTGCAGCAGCAGCCCCTGGAGCAGCCGCCCCAGCAGCAGCAGCACCTGGAGCAGCCGCCCCAGCAGCAGCACCCCCTGGAGCAGCCGCTCCAGCAGCAGCAGCCCCTGGAGCAGCCGCCCCAGTAGCAGCAGCCCCTGTAGCAGCCGCCCCAGCAGCAGCAGCAGCCTCTGGAGCAGCCGCCCCAGCAGCAGCAGCCCCTGGAGCAGCTGCCCCAGCAGCAGCAGCAGCCCCTGGAGCAGCCGCCCCAGCAGCTGCAGCCCCTGGAGCAGCCGCCCCAGCAGCAGCCACCCCTGGCCCCTGCAACAGCCGCTCCTGGACCCGGTGCAGCCGTGGGGGGGTGGGTGTGGGGGTGATGGTTGTGGGGGTGTCGGTTGTGCGTGCCGTCCCCTCCTCCTCCTCCTCCTTCGTCTCCCACTGCTACAGCTATCGCTGAGGGGGGTGGATGTGTGGGAGTCTGGGGTTTAGGGTTTAAGAGGGTGATGTGGGTGTATGGCTAGGGTTTGATCAGAGGGTGTGTGAGAGGGGCGTTGGGCAGCTGGGGGAGGTTGAGTGGAGGCAGCAGTCTTGTCGTCAGCAGCACCAGCAGTCCGGAGGCTACAATCTCCGGTAGTCGCCAGTCGCCTGTGGGTCAGTTGCTCGTCTGCCGCTACTTTTAGCCGCGGAGCCACTTACTCCTGTAGTCCGGGCCTTTGCTTCGGTAGCCACTGAGCCAGCAGCTCGTCCGTGTGTCTGCAGCGTCAGCAGTCGCCTCCCATCTTCTCTTCCCCACAGTCTCTCCTCCTCCTCACTTGCCCACTGTGATTAGCTCTAGCCTTACTTACCTATTGTGAACTATAGCTCTATGCCTGCATGCTGTACTGATTATACCCCACTTTGACTATGGGGGTGTGTCAGATTATAATGCATGTCTAGTCTGTAGTGGGGTACTCAAAAGTGAGTATAACCCTTTTAGGGCTTACTACTTGTATCCCCCTCCTTTCTAGTTTCAACATTCTCCTTCCACAATGCTCTCCACATTTCACTTACACCCTAAAACTCGAACTCACTCCTAAGCTACTATGGCTCCTAAGCCAAATTCTCGCTAGTTTATCAACATTCACGATGAACGTATTTTTCGACGCAAACTACGTCGAGTCAGATGCAGCGAAGATCCGATATGCCGTCTCTCTGCTGAGGGGCCCCGCCCAGAGCTTTTGCTAGGATCTGAGGGCGTCTGATTCTGTCAGACGCGTCCGCCAGGCAAAACAATTGTTTTGTCTGATCTAGATTGGAAAATCAGATGGATATAAAAAAATGAGTCTGAAAATCAGACCATCAGACCAAAATGGTCTGATAACGAGAGCCCTGGCCCCGCCATGGACTGGTGGCGAGTCATCGTGACGTCGCCACGCGCCTACGAGCCACCGTCGCAAGAGGAAGGGCCCACGGGTCCAGCTGTCACCTGGAGTTCATTCTGCGAAACCGCCCAGTACAGCACATGGGATGTGTGGTGCGCAGGGCTTTGGGCGCGCTTCGAGC